TCACCTGGTGTACTATGGTTAGTACCTCTGTTCCCTGCGGTTAAGGAATTCTGAGGTACACAGAGGTAGAGAGAGATACACTTGGACAAGAGACACAGACCTGGAGCAAAACTGACTGACAGTGGAAGGAGACAGAGATGCAGAGGTACAGAGACAATGGGAATTATTGATAAACTGGCAGAGAATGTGCACATCCATATCTTGAGGAGATTCCAGAATGAGAAGGGCTTGGATGAGGTAGGTGCAGGGGTGATGGGCTGTTGGTAAATTGATTGAGGGTCTCTTTCGGATTTTCATAGAGGAGGCTGAGGGGAAATTGAGTACTGATGAACCTTGCACCCAGAAGTCCATACCTCTGTCTTGTCTTTTACTGTCTAATTACCATGATTCTCTTTTTTTAAAAAAAATATTTTTATTGATTTTAGGAAGGGAGAGGGAGAGAGAAACATCAATGAGAGAGAATCATTGATCAGCTGCCTCCTGCATGTCCCACACTGGGGATTGTGTCCACAGCCTGGGCATGACCCCTGACTAGGAATCGAACCGTGATCTCCCGGTTCATAGGCTGAGGCTCAACCACTGAGCCATGTTGGCTGGGCTACCATGATTCTCTAGGTTTTCTAAATTCTACACTGCCCTTTCCTGACATTAAATAAGTCTGTCTTTCCTTTTGACTCAGAAAGTCTGAGACTCAGAAAGTCGCTGAAGGAAAACAGATGACAACTGAGTTCTGGATGGAGTTGATGAGCCCAAAGGCTGGGCTATGTGGGCCATATTTTGTTCATGGGGTTTGCCTCCAGTGTGGCAAATTCTGGGGACTTCCCTGGGAAAAACACAGATCATCTGCAGCTTATGGGGTGACCAGAGTAGAGATCATGAGGTCAACCAACTGGTGGGACTGATTATCCAGAGAACATGAGGTTCTCTGCAGGCAACCTGCAGGGCAGGATAGAATAGTGTGGATAGCAAAGACTTTAGAGTGATCAAGAACCCTAACACGTCTTCACTTCTTTCAGGCTGCAGGGATAATTGTATAAGTTTCTAATCCATCCATTATTTGAAAACTTTAGGGATAAGTGTGTTTTGTAATTCAGAATTTTTTATTATTTAAAAATTTTAACATGCTTTTATTGATTTTAGAGAGAGATGAAGGGAAAGGGAGAGAGAACTATCTATGTGAGAGAGGAACAATGATCAGCTGCTTCCCGCATGCACCCTGACAGAGGATGGAGCCCACAACCTGGGCATGTGCCCTGACCAGGAATCCAACCAGTGACCTTTCAGTGTACCAGACAATGTCAACCAACTGAGCCACATCAGCCAAGGCCTGTAATTCAGAATGTTTTGGATTTTAGAAAGGTAATATAGTGTCCTTATGTGAGAGACAGACAGAGCGAAATGGACTGACAGTGCAAGGAGGAGACAGATGCAGAGGTACAGAGACATACATACCCCAGTGAGATTTAGGGCAGTGCTCTCTGATCAACATCTGCAGCTAAATATATGAATAGTCACTCGAAAATAAATATAAATATAAATACAATTGTAAATGGTTCAGGTGACATTCTGGGCCAAAGTTATGAAAACACTTGTTTGTTGAGAGTTTTTTTTAACTTTGGAATTGTAAGTAAGGGATTACGGGCTTATAATTGTTCTCAGGTGTTTCGAGGAGCAAGCGAGTGCTGGTAAAGCTTTCTAAACACATCACATGGTAGATATGTATGTAATCTCAATCCAAAACAAAATACAAATGCCCAAGGGGGTGGATTTTCAGCTTGCAAGGAAGAAAGTTCTTGTGATGAACAATGCACAGCTTTGGAATCAGCTGCCTTGGGGAGCTGTGCACAACCAGGGGGTGAAACTGCCTTAGAAGAGAGGCTTTCTGTGCTGGGAGGCTGACAGAATTCATTGCTTATGAACATTGGCTGCCACGATTTCACTTTTCATGCACCAGAGGGGAAAGGCAAAGTGTGTGTGTGTGTGTGTGAGTGACAGGACTGTCAACATTTTTTACAATCTAATATCTTATTGCATACATCTTTGTTCGTATTGGTAATTATTTTGTCAGGCTAGATTTATTGAAGAGGAACCCCTAAGAGAAAGATATGGACATCTTAAAGACCTGTATCCCGTTAAGATTAGAATTTTGTCACAATTATTTACAGAATTATTGTCTGGAGGGCTTTTTAACTTAAAACTTCATGAGAATGACTGAGCTCACATTTGGGTTGAGGAAAAGTGTAGATTTCTTCCTCTTCCACTTGGTTGGAGTTTGACAGCACCTCTGAAAATCATAGCTTCTGGGCTATCTCTTCAGTTCCTTGAAATGAGGCCCGATGAGACCCCATGTGGCCCTGTAGATGGCATCCACCTGCCTTTTCAGCCATATGGCCTCCTGTGCAGTGTCCCATGGTGTGTGGTCCAGCTATCTGCTCTGGTCTGCATTCCACCTGGATTCAGGTCTTCATGGCTAACTCCAATATTTGTGGTTATGATAGTTTTCCTGGAGCACTTTGGTCCACTTGTGCAGCCTGCAGCTTTCTGTGACCTCATAACAGTGACTCCCTGCCTTATGTCTGAGATTATACTCATTCTGGACTGCATGCTGGTATGAGAGATCTTTTGTGCAATATCCCTCCTAGTGTGGAGTGCAAAGTGAATCTGCTGTTGGGCAACACCATGGCAAAACCTGTTAGTATCTCTTTTCTGTAGCCACAGCTATGTGAAATACTCCTGTTTCATCATATTGCACCAACATCATGTGCTTCTGATGATGTTGGCCAAGACCAGTGATTCCCAAAGTGGGCGCTGCAGCGATCCAGGGGGGCGGTGATGGCCACAGGTGCATTTGGGGGCATATATCTTCCTGTTTAATTGCTATTAAAATTAAAAAAAATTAATTTCCAGGGGGCGCTGAGTAATATTTTTTCTGGAAAGGGGGCGGTAGGCCAAATAAGTTTGGGAACCACTGGCCAAGACAAATAGGGTTGTTGATGAGGCTTTTACTTGGGAATTTTACATTCGTGGCTGAGGATGTGCAAAAGGGCAGATTGGTAAGAGATCATAGGGATTCTGGACTTCAGGCAAGCAGGCAACATAATTACAATGGTTTTCTAGGGATATAAAAATTTATTTCAGTTGGACTCCTGACCCATGAAGCTGCAAGCCTCGGGAGAGAACTTCTAGCCATTAACTCTTAAGACTTTGGCAATGGAGTGTGTGGTCCGGGGGTGGGGTGGAGTGGGTAGATAGTGATTACACAGGAGACCAAGAGGATTCTCTGAACTGGGAATATCTTAAAGATCAGTGTCCTGGTGAAACTGGGACCCCAGGACACATCTAGATTCTCGGAAGGTGGGGGAGAAGCCTGTATGACTCTGGCTAGAACAGAATCTGACCCCAGAAATAGGGCTGTGATCCCAGACAAGAACTAGTCTCCAGAGGAACTGTCCCTCTTCCCAGACACCTAGATTCAGGATCTGCAGAGGAGCTACTGTGAGGGAACAGGGGCAGACTTAAGTTAAAATGATGGGGAGAGGCAAGGAGGGGAGTTTTCTTTAAATCTTGTGTGCTAGGATCCCACGATAATTCCTGATCTTATTTTCCTTGCATGGTAACACACTGGCCCCTGACCCCTGCCTCCCCACAAGCAGGATATGTGGCTAGGCCTAACTACACATTCCAGTGGTACCCATAGTAGGGGCTTCACAGCAAACACCTGTTGAGTGGTTATGAGAGTCATATGCAGATAATGAGGCCAATGACATAGTTCATACTTCCAGATTCCAGATTTTTTGAATGTCCCCCAGCACCACCTCTAGGCTTCATTGTTTTCAGTGCCCATCAGAACTGGCTTTTTCTGAATGTGAAGGTTTCCAGGAACCGGTCCCTGATCTGCTTGGTGCGGGCCCCATAGATGAGAGGGTTGAGGGCAGGTGGCAGCAGCAAGTAGATGTTAGAGAGAAGGATGTGTACGGGCTTGGGGACAGTGTGACGACCAAAGCGGTGTGTGAGGTAGGAGAAGAGACCAGGCACATAGAAAGCCAGAATGACACAGATGTGGGAACTACATGTGCCAAAGGCCTTAGCACGGGCCTCCTTGGTAGGCAGTCGCAGCACAGTGTGGGCAATGAGCCCATAAGAGCCAGTGATGCCCAGAATATCTACACCTGACACGGCCAGTGAGAGCGCTAGCCCATACAGATTGTTGGCCCGTGTGTTACCCACCACCAGCTCCACCACCGCCATGTGTGCACAGTAGGCATGCTCTATGGTCTTGGCTCGGAAGTGTTCAAATCGTGCCACCAACAGAGGGAAAGGCACAACAATAGCCACAGCTTTTAGTGCCAGTGCCAGGGCTGCATATCCCACACGAGCTTTGGTGACAAGGATAGAGTAGTGCAGTGGACTCCCTACTGCCACGGCACGATCACAGGCCATGGCCAGGAGTACTCCAGATTCCATGGCAGTCAGCGCATGGACAAAGAACATCTGGACCAGGCAGGTAGCATATGGCACAGGGCGGGGTCCGAGCCACATCACAGCCAGCAACCCTGGGCCTACGGATGTGGCTAAGCCCAGGTCTGTGGCTGCCAGGGTGGCCAGGAGGAGAAACATGGGCTGGTGCAGTGTGGAATCTACCTGCACCACTGCCAGCATTGTTCCATTGCCCAGCAGGGCCAGCAGATACATGGGCCCAAAGACCAGTGTCAGCCAGGCCTGGGTCCCCCCTAGCCCTGGGATGCCAGTCAGTAGGAAGAAGGCTGGGCGTGGGAAGGTGGAGTTGGGCTGTGGAACTTCTGCCATCCTGTGTGGGGTAAAGCTTTAGGGCTCATGGGGGCATGACTCCTGAGAAGGGAAGGACAAACGGAGGGATTTTTGGGGGTGCCACAGTGGCACAGACCTATCCATAGAGTATGTAAAGGGTAGTACAGGGCTGGGAAGATCACAGGGTTTTTATCTTTAGTTGGGGATTTGAATGGATAATCAAGACCATAACCCTAGCTAGGATGGGAGAATCCTTTGCACTTGAAAGTTCATGAGGGTAGGGAGAGAGAGAGGGGACAGTGGTAGTGAGGAAGGGCGTGGTCACTGCTATAGTGGCTGGTACAGTCAGAGCCCTTCAGTGGGAGGTCAGCTGAGAGTGGAGCTGAGATGTATGTTTTTCTTCCTCCGGGTTTAAATAGAGTAGGTCTCAGTCTCTGGTGATGGGGAGAAAGCCAACACTGGGTGGGGATCAGACCTTAGGCTGGTTCTGTCCCTGACTGTGTATCCTTAGGAACAACTCCTGGGCCTCAGGTTCCTCATCTTTACAATGGGGTGGGCTTAAGCATCGCTCAGCTTTAACATGCTGGGCAGTTACCCTCCAAGAAGAAAGGGGGAGAGTTAAGAGAAAGGGAGAAACAGGAAGAGGAGGTAGATGGAACCTGGAGTGAAGGTGAAAGCCTTGTGTGACAGTAGAAAACTGGTAGGTTTTGGGGTGTGGGGTGCTTACGTTTCCTTTAACTCGATGCTGAAACAGTGAACTTGAACACTGGCTGAAGAGTTGAAGTTGGGCCTGGGATGCAATGAAGAAAGTGAGAAATGGCAGCGAAAAAGGAACTTCTCTCTTTTCCTTCTTTACAATCCAGAAGAGGTCCCACTAGAGTCTCATTCCTGATGTGCCAGAGGGAGAGGTGACAGGGAGGAAATGGCAGTCAAGTCAGAGGAGCAGCCATGTGAGATAGAAGCATTCTTGGTGCTGAAGGAGTCAGGGTGAGCAGAACCGATTCCTCCAGAGTCTAGCCCACGGCGGAAGCTTATACCCCTTGGATGAATAAATGGAGGAAGAAAACAACAGAAGACTTGACTGGGGAGGGATCCCGAGCGCCGTGTGTTGGCAGCTGTTCTTTGCCTTGACCGGTGCCTACCAGGCTCTTTATGTGACTGCTACACCTGCTTCCCTCAGGCCCTACCCCTCCCACCTGTGCCACATTAACTCTTCCCTGCTCCATTTTTGCTCATTGCTGATAGGTCTGGTAACCCAGGGAGTAGAGTAAGAAGGCAGAGATAGGGCAACAAAGAAAGAGACTAACTTAGGGGAGTAGGAAGATCTGGGAAGAGGAACACTTCCCCTGGGAGGTCTTTGCTGCAGAGAAGACCTTGCTTTATTTTTAAATAGCATCCCCTTTATTATAATTACTTGTCTCTCCTTTTCCCACTAGACTAAAAGAGTTAGAGTCAGTATTTCTTATTAGCCCCGGTACCTCCGTTATACATCACAGTGCCTGGCATGCAGTTGTCTATGAATAAATATTTATAGCTTTTAATTGTGGGGCAGAAGTGCTGGCCCAAACAGTGTTTGCTGACTAACAGGGGCTCCTATAGCTTCAGGAGCCTTAGGTATCCATGGAGATGAGAAAGAATTATTTGCCATCAACCACATCCACTGAGTATGATTCCTTTTGTTATAATGAAACATATCCTAAATATCACCACGATATGCAAGATAATGCAATAAAAAACACAGGGCTTACAGGAAAAATGGGAGGAGGGACACAACATTCGCAAACTTTGTCAGTGACATATTTAAAAAGGGTAGGAACTGCCCAGCTGGTGTGGCTCAGTGGTTGAGTATCAACTCAGGAACTAGGTTGTTGGTTCAATTCCTGATCAGGGCACATGCCCTGGTTGCAGGCTTGATCCCCAGTGGGGGCCATGCAGGAAGGAGGTAGCCAATTGATGACTTCCTCTCTCATTGATGTTTCTATCTCTCTGTCCCTCTCCCTTCACTTCTCTCTAAAAATTAATAAAAATATGTTAAAAAATAAAAAGGATAGGAACCAACAAAAATGGTAGCACATGTTAAATGATTACAAAGTACATACTAGCACATGCACCAATAAATATGACACTTCACCTTGAAAAAGACTTGTAATTTTCCTTGTGGAAGTGAGTGTCGGAAGTAGCTTGTGAATTACTGTGAAGAGGTGGGAGACACTAATCTGAAATCAGGTGAGATGCTGTAACACCAGATGTGGACAGGTGTGGCTCATAACACAAGTGGTGAACTGAGGTAGCTGATGAATGTTTGCGTATGTGCATGTGTGCTCATTGCATTTTCCTATGCAGTTTGGTTCAGCTGGGTGCAGTTTTCCATGTTCATCTAGTTTCTTGCAGATGAAATCACACATAAGTAAACAGAATATTCACATTATGCTCAGTTCCCTAACCCTACCAGACCGCTGTACCGATTTTTCGGTAATTTCCACACAAAGGTAGAATATTGGCGCTAGATGAAAGGTAGATGAAAGGTAGACCTATTTTCTACAATGTCTCCAAGTTCCATCTTATTCTAACCACTTGTTTGCATGTAACTAACATTTTTCTATATCATGTTGGTTTTTTCTCTTTAATGCTCAGGAGCCCAGGTATAGGGGACAGTTAGGTTCAGGGCCTCAGGTCTGGTAGGACTAATACACCAATTGGTTGGGCCAAATCTGCATTTCAAAACCAGCTTTATAGCAGAACTGATTGAATCTCTTTTGTACCTGGCCCTGTGCCTCATGGTGAGTATACAATGGCAATAACAAGACCCTGCTGCCCTGCAGGACCTCATGGTCTAGTGGACACAGTGATGCCCACAGTTGGCAGAGAACAATGAAAGTAACTGTGTTAGCTCAGGTCAGTACCAGGCATAGTGGGAGCACAGAGAAAGCCTCGCCCCCTTCTTGGAGGAGTCAGGGAAGTCTTCCCTGAATGACAGTGATGCCTATATTCCTCTGGAGTGTCCTATGTGCAGTTACTGCTCTAGTACAACATGCATTTGCAGTAGGTACAATTATTTTCCCATTTTTGTGCAGACAAAGAACCAAGGCACAAAGAGATAAAGTAACACGCCCAAGGTCACACAGCTAGTAATTAGCAGGATACTAGCTCAGTGTGGCTCTAACATCCCTGCTCTTGGCCACTACTTTGAACATTTCCACTGAGATTTAGCACATGAGTAGTGTTCTAGGAGGAGTAGTTCAGAGACAGATTGGCAGGTGGTCTGGGATGCTGAATGGGGAGATGTAGGAAGAGCTGCAATGACCTGTTAGTCAATGGTGAGGGAGGAGAGGAGCTCTTGGGAGGTGGGAGCAGTGGGTTGAGAGCCATAAAGGAGAGGGTTGGGAAAAGTGCCCTCGAATGCCATTATAGTCAAATGGCCTCAAGAGAACACGAACAGGATTTTGGCTGACGTGTGCCTATCCTGGGCACTGTTTGTACAAAGATGGTTCATAAGATAAATCACAGACCCCTTAAGTCCAACAAAATGAATTAAGTTCCTGCAAATTGGATGTATTCTGTGTTTCTCATTGCCCAGTAGTCCAGGAGGTACTGGGGGATATCATTGACGTTGTCTCTAGGAAAGTTTCTTTGTTGTCCTCTAGGCTCAGCCCAACATTATAGGAGGTTT